AGCGTTCCCGCCCACCCCGCCAGCAGCCACAGTTCGAGAATCTTGTCTCTCCTTGCCATTCTGTCCTTAACTGAGTGTGCTTGATCTGAACCCCGTTCTAGATTCTCGGTGCACCTCTCTTAATGCAGTGCCTGTTTTGCAGCAAATAGTATCTATACTAATCAGAGCGGGAGAGCTTCTGTTGGGCACCAGGGACTTTGTTGTGATATCAGGAGAGTCTGTAGGAAAGCGCCTTAGTGCACACCCGCGCCTTTGTGGACCCCAGTCAGGCCACTGGCACAGCTTAGTTTCTTATGAAGAAAATCTATCTAGAAAAACTCAGCCTGCAAGAATGCTCTCCCTGTCCTCTCTAAAGTCTTTAAATACATGCACAAGCACACATACAGGTACGTGCCATGATGCCACAGCCAAATCAGGAGCTGGTGGTCTGGCCCAGGGCCTGCATCAGTGCCCTGTGTGGGGGGCGCCTGGTCAGGAGACGCCAACTGTCCTCTGATCCCCTGTGCCCACCCAAGTAGTATATATGTGGTTCTACCTGGCTCGCTTCCCAGAATCTTCCAGAGACATTTTATTTTTCTTTCATCTTGTGTTCGTCCATCCGTCAAACCTCATCATTCTCAGAGACCCAGAGGAAATGGGTGCTCAGTTCAGCAATGGGCCTTGTGCCCCAGGATGGCAGGTGCAGTGAGCACTAGCCCCTCCTCTCATATTTGTTCCTCAGCCAACCTATGTGTGTGTGCTGTTACCTCCTGTACAGCAAGGCGAAGTGTCATCTGGTCAGGCCTTCATGTCATCCTGTGGGGGGTGTGGCTGTGCTTGTGGGAACTGAGGCCCTTCCAGGGTTCAGGCCTGGGGAGAGTTTACCCAACCCCCAGGCTGTCCAACATTAGACTCCATACCCTGAGCTGCAGGGGTGGGCTCCTACACTCCCTCTTGGGTGCACTTAATTCAGAACCCCTTCTTTCCAAGGCTGTCAGTGTGGACTCACAGAAGATCCCTTTTGTATTTTGTGGGTTTGATTCCCAGAAATCCCACCTAGGGACCTGCCCTTATAGGCCCCCAGCCTGCCAACCGTGGGCCAGTCTCAGCCTCCACGAGGGGTCCTGACCAGAGGGAGAAGGGCCAGGAGATTCCCCGGTGCACTTAGATGAGGCTCTGTGGGTCCTTTTTTGTCTTTACAAAGGCCAAGCCAAGCAGGCCTCCTGCTCAGACCTCAAGGGCAGAGCTGTACCCACCCAGACGCCTCCTTTACCAGAGGGAGGAACCCGACCCCTGGTTCCCTCTTGCGAAAAACTTGGTGTCCCCAGCATTTCATTTACACTGTCTTTAGCATGGGGATGCTATGTGTCTGTGTGCCCGTTGTTTCTGCGCCCGTTGTTTCTTTGTGAAATGTGGCCTGAACAGGGTGGGTACCAGTCTACTGCACTTTGAAGACAGCACACACAGCCTGTTCTCACTGCTTCTTTCCCCTCCGCTGCTCACCCACCCACCCCCTACCTGGTTCACTGGACCTTTCCCTAAGAATTCCTGTCAATAAAAAGGTAATTTTAAAAAATCAAGAACACACCAGGCATGGTGGCGCACACAGAGGCAGGGAGAGGGATCTCTGTGAGTTCAAGGCCAGGCTGGTCTACATAGTGAGTTCCAGGCCAGCTGGGGCTACGGGGAGACCCTGTCTCAAAAAGACTTAAAAAAAAAAACCAAGAACACTAATTCTGAAACAGTTTTACAGTGACTGTCAACACCTGGCCATTCCTGTTCTGTCACACCCTCGGGAGTGTCAGGGCAATCCCAGCCGCCATCTGACTTCCTAATACTCACCGGGCGCCATCACTCCCTCTCAAATAGGTTTGTAAGTCCTTACCTTACTGGCAAGTTGCCCCCCTGTGTCCAGGGTCCTCAGCTGCTTGTAACTTTTCAGTCAGTTACAGTCAAAATCTAGCCAGGCTGAGGACAGTTGGCAGGAGCTGAGCAGTACAGGCTCGGTGGGCAGTAGCCAGTGACCCCAGTGGCTCTCTCACTTTCCTGCATCACGTGCCAGCACGTGAGACATGTAACTACAGCATCTACCTCTGAGCATCACTCCGCTCAGGCTGGCCCTCATGGGTGGGGTGCCATCTGGTTTTTCTTCCTCTATGGATTTTTAGAGGCCGGCATGGCCTAGAATAGCAGGCACTTAGCTTTCCAAGGTTCCTGGCATCTGCTGGGTGGATCAATATCACTTTGATGCTTTTATAGGTTGAAAATGGTTGAATGCAGTTGTTCAACTTAATAAAAGGTATGGATTAAAAATTTAAAGTATGGCTGGGCGTGGTGGCCTGTGGCTTTAATCCCAGCACTCAGGATGCAGAGGCAGGGGATTGTTGTGAGTTCAAGGCCATGCTGTTATCTGTTTTTTTGGTCAAGAACTTTTTTTGTGTTGATTTATAATAATTCCATGTTTATGAGGTCAGTGTGATAACTCAGTATTTATGATAATTCCATGTTTATGAGGTTAGTGTGATAACTCAGTATTTTCGTTCTTGTTTTTTGAGAGAATCTCATTATGAAGCCCTAGATGTCCTGGAACTTGCTATGTAGACCAGGCTGGCCTCAAACAGAGATCCGCCTGCCTTTGCTTCCTGTGTTGGGATTAAAGGCGTGTACCACCGCACCGGGCTGATGGAGTATGTGTACACGTTGATGATCAGGGCCGGTTAGCACTCAGCTCTTTAAGTGATTCTTTTGTCCCTAGTTTGTTCTTTTCATTTGGTTTGGTTGGGGATGGATTTCTTGTAGTCTAGTCTGGCCTTAAACTCCTGGTTTTCCTGCCTCCTGAGTGTTGGGATTACAGGTGTGAGCCACAGTGCCTGGTTTAAAATATATTAATGAGTGAACTGTGGTCACTGTGCTATACTTCCAAACACCAGAACATGTTCCTGTGTGTGTCTGTACTCTGACCCGTTAGCCACCCTCCCTCCGTCTCACCGTCCCCCGCCATTCCTAGCCTCATGTGAACATGTGACATTTGTTGTCCTGCTCCTGGCTTATTTGACCCCACATAGTGTCCTCTGGGTCCATCCTGGCTGCTGAAAATGACAAGGTCATGTTTTTTTCATGGCTGACTAATATTCTGTTGCGTGTAGCTTATACTTCTTTTCTTTTTCTGTTTGTCATCGATAGACACCTCAGTTGGTTCCATGCTACAGGGCAATGCAGCCAGGCAGGGTGGTGTGTGCCTGTAATCCAGGTGCTCGGGAATGGTGAATTCAAGGCCAGTTTGGGCTACAGAGCAAGACCGTCCCAAAATGAGCAAGCACAGGAGCACCAGTGTGTCTGTGCTCCTTCCATTTCCCTTGGGCGTAGGTGCAGTGATGAGACGGTGGATCTCGGGGTGGACGGCTGTGTTGTCAGTGTTCGGAGAACCTTTGTACTGCATCCCACGGCCCACGGCAGACGTACCAATTTTATATTCGCACCGTACATCATAATAGTTTCATGGGGTGGTGTTTTCTGCATTTTGGTGCTCGAAGAGTTTTGGGTCATAGAGCATTTCAGATTTCTCATTTTGAATTGGGAAATGTTCTCAATCTGCTCGCTCTTTAAAAATACTTTTCATTTATTATTTTTATTTTGTGTGTATGAGTGTATTGCCTGCATGTGTGTAAGTTGTAAGTGCACCTGTGTCATGCAATGCCCACGGAGTTCAGAAGGGGGATTCAGATGTTCTCAATCTGCTCGCTCTTTAAAAATACTTTTCATTTATTATTTTTATTTTGTGTGTATGAGTGTATTGCCTGCATGTGTGTAAGTTGTAAGTGCACCTGTGTCATGCAATGCCCACTGAGGTCAGAAGGGGGATTCAGATCTCCTGGAACTGGAGTTAAGGACAGTTGTTAGCCACCATGTGGGTGCTGGGAATCAAATCCGGGTCCTCTGCAAGAGCAGCCAGTGCTCTTACCTGCTGAGCATCTCTCCAGCCCCTCAATCTGCCCATTTGACTTGGAAACATTTAATTCTCCCTAGTAAAGTAGCCCCGCACCCCTTGGCAGCCTCTTCCACTTCCCTCCGGCCTGCTGACTAGAGACCCTCGAATCTCCCTTCTACAGCAGCATCTGGCTGGCTTCCTTCTGTACCTGTTTTTAGGTTTTCTGCATTAGCTTAGAGGGCTCTGGGGGTGGCCATGCCACTCTTGGTGACCTTTATAGGGTGATGGGTGTTTGAGTAGTTTCCCACTCTGGCAGTGCCCAGTGAGGCCACCATGCAGTCTGCACATGGGGTCTGCTCCTCAGGGACATTTCTGTCCCTGGTGTGGTATAGTTGGGTCATAGGGTTTCTTCCAGAAATTCCAAACTCTGCCCAGAAGCTGACCCTTCTCAGCCTCCATTAGGAATGACTGAGGATTCTGAGCTTGCCTGGCCTTTGCCAACCTGTTGTCTGGCTTTTGTTGTTGCTGTTTTGAGACAGACCCTTGCCATGTAGTCAAGGCTGGCCTCAAACTCAGGATTCCCCCACCTCAACTCGGCCTTTCCAGTGTAGGGATCACAGGTCTGTTTGGCCACACCTGAGTGGCTAGCTGATCATTTGCAAGCCTCGTCCTGGGTGGTGGGGTAAGGTGCTGGTGGAAGACTAAAAGGGACTGACATTTTGTCAGTGGACTAGAATACCACCTAAAGCCATTTTCAGAAGCTCCTGCGAAAGTCAACTTTAAATGAGAGCCACAGGGGGTAGAGAGACGACTCAGAGGTTAAGAGACCAGTTACTCTTGCAGAGGACCTGGGTTCGATTCTCAGCACCCACATGGTGGCTGACAAATATCCATCTGTAACCCCTGTTCCAGGAGATCGGACATTTCCTACGTGCAGGCAGAACACTCATAGACTAAAATAAAATGAGACCCATGGCACACTACATCCCAGCTGGCAGAGTCCTTGCTAGTGGGGGTGGGAAGACCTGTTTCCAGCATGTGAAATGTCCCTTCTTCCTCCAGGCCTCACCTGCCACATTCTTTCTCTGTTCAGGTGTCACCATGAAGCTCATGGATGAGGTGGCCGGGATTGTGGCCGCACGTCACTGCAAGACCAACATCGTCACAGCCTCAGTGGATGCCATCAATTTTCACGACAAGATCCGGAAAGGTAACAGTGCCCTTCTGATGAACTCCAGGGTGCCTGGGTCCCTGGTGCCACCTGGCTTTGTGCTCACACTGGATTCTACCCGTGTGCCCCACGAGCAGGAAGGCAGAGCTCTGCTCCATCCCTCATGTGCATCCTGAGGATGGTGCTGATCGGTTTGATTCTTTTAATCAGAAACTCAAATGTAACGGAGGCTTTATCCTCCTGGAGCCCAGCATAAGCCATCTTAAAACTAACAGAGCGCTGTGAGGATTTCGCTTAGTACAGGTGCATCAATCCTGCAGATTTCTCTCTGGGGAAGTAAGAGATAATCTGTGACCTATGTGTGATGGCCAGTGTCGAGGTGCTCAGGGGATTCCTCCTCAGCTAGTGCTGCTCACCTTGCTCAGGGCTGTTTGGGGGTGTTTCCATGATGGAAATCTAATCCTCGTGTCTGGGTGTCTGCAGCCTGGGGAGCAAATTACCACAGTGTCTTGGGTGCGCAATGAGTGTCCCCTCCTGTATATGGTGATTCTTACTGTACCTCATCTCCTGAGATGAGGCAGAGGCCCCTGGGAGCAGGCCTGCCTTGTGAGCCTTGGAGCGGAGGGTGAATCCAGAGCCAGACATTGGCTCTGAAGACACTGCACCATGACAGCAGCTCAGCGGAGCTGTGGCATGAGGTGAGGCCCGTGCGTGGTTGGTGACGAGTGGGCGCCTTCTCACTGCCTGTGCCCACCTTGTGCTACATCCAGAACTGCGGAGCCCCAGCACCTTCTCAGAGGTGCCTCTTAACCCTGGCAGCTGACAACTCTGTGCTGGGAGGAGGCGCCCAAGATTGGGAGGTGCAGGGCTGTGCCCCGCTGCCGTAACCGGAAGTGGGGTAGGCGTTCCTGTGGTGGACTTGAAGCTTTGGGATAAGAAACTCCATCCGTGGCTCCCCCTGCTCCTCGGAATCCCTTTTTTTTTTTTTTTTCTCTCTTTTTGAAGCAGGGTCTCCCTGTAGCCCCAGCTGTCCTGGAACTCACTATGTAGACCAGGTTGGCCTTGAACTCACAGAGATCCACCTGCTTCTGCCTCCCAAGTGCTGGGACTACAGGCGTGCACCACCATGCCCTGCTCGGAATCCCTTCTTAACTGACAGGCGTTTGCCATAAACACAGACAATAACAGTAATGTCATTTAACATCTGCCTCAAAGAAGTGGCCCCCAGGGCATGCATGTCACCAGCTCTGAGTGCTATGTGCTTCTGGTGTGTGACATAAACCTTTGGAGGAGGGGAGAATCCTGCATGTCACAGTTACACGCCACCCTTTTTCTGGAACTTCTGCCTGGTAAAATGACTGATCAGCACCACATTGTTAAATCTAGACCCAAACCCACAGTGGAGAGTGTGCTCATGTACCATGGAGCTTGGCTGTCCCTCAGGGTCCACCATCAATAGAGAAGGCTTGCAGCTCAGAGAGGCCCTTAAAAGGGAGTGTCCCTCTGCTGTCAGGGTGAGCTCACCAGGGAGAAGACCCCCCACACTGTTCACCTCAGTCTCCTACGTAGCCCAAAGCTGCTTGGAAGGGCTGTTGACGTAGTGGCTCCTGGTGGGGAGGGGTTGCTAAGTTCATGGGAATCATAAACTGCAGTGGGAGCGAGGCGGTCGTTGCCAGAAGCCGCTGCCGATACAAGGAATTTGAGGACATAGGCTTCCTTCTAAAGACGCATTTATCTAGAACACAGGAATCTTCCTTTCCAGAGGCCACTGACTGCTAGTCTGACACTCTGATATGTACTGACTTCCCACAGGGAGTGAGGGGAGGGACTCCTGGACTGGCCTGGTCTCTGTAGCCAAGAGCTATGATGTGAAGCCCCTGCCTAGAGCCCCTCCCTCTGTGTGTCACAGCCTTGACCTTGGCCTGTGCAGCCTTCTGACCTGGAACCCGCTTGGAGATGTTTGATTCCACTTGGGCAGGAGGTCACAGCTATTTTCTGAGGTGATGTCTTGCTTGGGACGTGAAGGAATTGAGGCCATCCTGAAACAGCAGCAGTTGTGGAGTCTGGCCCACTTCTGTGGCGTGTCCTCGGGCCATTACACACGTCACACTTTGTTGTTTCCAGAGGAACATCACTTGTGAGGGCTGTGTGTGCCCTCCTGCATAGGAGCCCGCCCTGCCTGTGTCCGCACCACAGACAGAACCTCGAGCTCCTCAGCAGAGGGGGTACTGCATTCAGACAGGAGCATTTGGCTCCCTCGCTGGGAGGCACGAAGCAAGGCTGGCGTGTCCCTGTTGCCTCTGGGTTTGTGGTGACACAGTCCACGTATGTCAGCGACTGTAGGTGGGGGTGTTATGCGGCATTGACAAGCCAGTTGTGCTTTGTTTTCTGAGTCTGTTGCGGTCACCTTGAACCCTCCAGGCTCTGGTGCCCTGACCCACCCTCTCTGTGGTTTTCCCCTTGCCTCACACTCAACTCTAGCATGGAGGAGGCCACAAGGGACACCTTTGCCCCTCCTCAGATGAGGTACTGCATACATCAATGTGCTCAGGGTGAGGTGGCATCCACAGGGCCCAGGGAACTGCTGGTAGCCTGGAAACCTTGGCTGGAAGATGGGCCTGGCCCCCACGGGCTCTGTGCTAACAAGAATGGTGTTGGCTCCCTAGAGCTCCTGCAGCCATTGCCCACAGACTGGGGTACTTAAAATGACAGAGCTTTCTCCTGATTCTGAAGGTGAAAGTCCGAACCCAAGATGTCAGTGGGACCATGTTCCCTTTGAGGACACACCCCACCTCCTCTCACACCCATGATCTTGGTATTGTTTGGCCTGTGGCCCGTCACTCCATCCCTGCTGCCCTGGCCACAGGCCGTCTTGCAACTGGCCCATGTCTCAGGCACTTGTGGGACTTGGGATCTCCCTGTCAGTCACATCAACGGTGTGTTGCTCAGAAAGTTGCACCAGCAGCTTTACATGGTCACAGGACAGTCCCAGGTGGGAATGTGGCATGAGAACTTAACTTAGAGTTTCAGCCAATGAGGTGTGTGCCGAGGGACGGTCAGCCGCACCCAGGCCTACAGACACGGGGCCACTTCAGCTGCCGGCTGCCCTGGCTCTCTAGTAGCACCACAGGTTTGGTGCTTACAGACTTGGTTCTTTCAGGCTGACCCTCAGTCATGCCTAGACAGAGAGGGCCCACTGCATTCCTCCTACGCCTCGACAGCCCATCCCAGCGCTACCCCCATTGCCTATGGCTGCCTATGACCTGCCATTTCTCTGCTCACGTCCTCCTTGACTGACTTTGACACCCCACATTCAGCCTGCTCAGCTCGGCATCCAAGTCCACTAGCAGATCGCCACCTGGGTGTGCCGCAGATGAGGTCTGAATTAAGTGCTGTCCGGGGCCAAAGAATGGCACACTGGATCATGTCCAGTCCTGTGCCCATTAGGAATGGGAAGGATAGAGATCCACCTGCCTCTAAGGCTCTTAGCCACCATGAACATCTCAGGCTTCCTGTCCCCAGCACCAGCAGGAATGCTGGGGACAGTGGGAGCTGTAACAAGCCGGTGCCCACTCTTAGAGGACCTGCCATCCCAGGAACAGGTGTGATGAGTGGGCAGGGCAGGTAAACGTGAGCGTAACATACCCTGTGGGTCGCTTTCTCCATTCGTTCCCTCCGTTAAGACATTAAATTCCAAGGTAACTGTTAAGAAACAGTAAAAGGGGAAACAGTTCCTTGAAGAGATGATTTTCGGAAGGGCTGGACAGGAGAGCCTAAAGCTGCAATTTTCTGACAGATAACCCCTCCGCCCCCAGACTAACAAGGTGGAAACAGGTACCTCCAGGAGGCCTCGGAGTGTCGCACCCTAAGAGTACCAACACTGGTTCATCACTGTTCAGTGCTTTCTTGAGACAGCCTCTGTCCTGGCTGTCTGGCATACAAACACAGAACTGTTCGTAAACTTTGAAACACTTGGCAGCTTCTGGGGCTTGGTAACAAATTAGTTTGTTTTTCCAAATCCCTGGCATACTGCTACAATCTAGCTGCTGCCGCCTGGGGAGCAATGCTGTCTGTCTGCGAGGGAGTTGGCTGGGGCACCTGCCAGCTTCGTGGGGTCCGCCTCCCCATACAGGATGGCTGTGGCTTCAAAGTGGGCAGTCCTCAACTAGCCACTTGGTATATTTACCTGTAATGTTTCTGTTCAGAGTGCCAGGCACTGTGCTGAGTGCTTTACCCATCAGCCTTCCACCGGCCCAGTGAGGCAGGAGCTACTGTTATCCGTTTTCCAATCCGAAAACTTCAACTTGAGAGGTTAAGGGAGCTGCCTGCTGGCCCGGGGCCCAGGTATTACCTGGTAACCTGACAGGACACCACCAAGCATCCTGGACAGGGAACAGCAGTTGCACAGAGGGTGAATCCTTGCAGGTCAAATGTAGTGTCATCTGCCTTTGGTGCTTGTCCTAGACGGTGGTGTGACCATATGCCCCTCACAGAGTGGGAGCCTGTGTTTGCCAAGGCCCTGTGAAGTTACTGGTATGAGCCCCAGGGACACAGTGCTCTGGTTGGGTCCCTCATCGGCCTTTGCCCAGGGTCCTTTTCCGACTGAGCTCAGGGACTGTTGGGATAGTTGAGTCTCCTGAAGCAACTTCCTCCTTTCTGTTCTGTCAGCTTTGCCTGCAGCAGCCACTTGTACTGTCCACAAAATAGTCCCTGACCACGCATTCAGAGTATAATTAAGTTGAAAATTAAAGCTGGGCGCAGTGGGCTGTGCTTACAGCCCCAACTACTGAGAAGCTGAGGCGGAGGAGTATGTCAGGGGTCCCTGGGTAGTCTGGGCAACACGGCGAGGTCATCTTAAAGAAGGGGAGGTGGCAACTGAGGCTCAGAAGGACCATGAGTTCAAGGCAGCCCGGACGACATGGTGAGATCTTGTCTGAAGAAAGGAAAAGGGGCTGGAGAGATGGCTCAGCGGTTAAGAGCACTGGCTGCCCTTGCAGAGGACCCGGGTTCGATTCCCATCACCCACATGGTGGCTAACA